GTGGTTCTGGGGGTCCGTAGGGTGCTGGGGGTTAGAGTGTGAGAGTTTCATGGGCGGGGGCGAGTTGTAGAGCGACTAGTGGTGAGTTGGCGACGTTGTGGGCTCCACGCCGGTTGGGCGCCGGAGGGCCCGGGGGCGGCACCCGGCGCGAGGGGGCGCATTGGGGCGGCATGCATTGCTGCATTGCCGCAAGCGCGCCATCTCTCTCTACGCAGACGAGTATGTGGCTGCGGGGTATCCACCGGCGCGTGAACAATATCGGTGGAAACACGGCCATGGACGCTCTCTAGCCGCCCCGGTCTGTTCTCTTGTCGACACAGACTCGAGACTCGTCGCGGAGGGAGCAAAACTTGTTCCGTATACATGTAGGTAGTACATCCCTCATCCGATGTAGCATTTCCAGGACGAGAGAGAAAGCGAAAAGAGCAAAGAGGCAAAGAGGAAACTGGAAAGATCTGGCTCACGCGAGCGTGAAGTGCTGGTCGCGCATGAAAGCGCCGCGCTTCTCCGCAAAATCGACGTCGGGCGGTTTGTCGTCGACGCGGCCGGACCAGCCGTAAGCCTCCGCGAGGAAGCCCGTGCCGAGGAGGGCCTGGTCGAGCTCGTCGACGAGCGGCGCGGCGATCTCGGCCAGTTCGGCCGCCTGCCCCGGCTGAAGCGCGAGGATGGACGGCCGCAGCAGGCTGAGCTTGACGGCCGAGTCGAGCACGTCGAGGATGCCGGCGATCCGCGCGGCGGAGACGGCGCCCGAGTGCGCGCCCGCGCGGTGGAGCGTCGAGTACACGTTGGGCCAGTAGCGCGAAGTGTTGATCGAGTCCGTCGCCTTGTACCACTCCTCGGAGCGCTCGATCGAGCCACTGACGGCGTTGTGCAGCTTCCACACAAAGAGGCGCAGGCGCGTGGCATCAGTCACGTAGGCGAGCTTGAGCGACGTAGCCGACAGTGCAGTGAGTTGGATCCACTATAGATCCGTCGAAGAGATCCGCCGAAGAAGAGGCGCGCTCGGCGCGCTGGGCGTTTGGCAAGGAGGTTTGGGTGTATTATTAAATGAACTCGGGGGCACAGGACGCGGTACAAACGGGGTACACCAAAAGGCACAGGCTGCCTGCACGGCGAGCGTGTCGTCGTCCTTGACGGCGTTCTGCAGCGCACCGTAGAGTTGGCGCGACAGAGTCACCGACAGGTCCTTGAAGAACTTGTCGATCATGGCCGGGATGAGGCCGTCCGCAGTGCCGATGTTCTTGTAGCGCACGTGCAGCGCGACCGCCTCGGCCTCGCGCTCCGCGCCCGGCCGGATGGTGCCCACCTCGATGATGTCGAGGAGGTACTTGTGTTGCTTCGCCGCGGTCCGCAGGTTGCGGAACCACTCGTTGAACTCCCGCTCGGAGCTCTGTTTGTAGGCCGGAATCACCAGCTTGTCCGTCGACGACATGTTGTCGTAATGTCCCGGGGATCGTTGCCCCGCCGCCACCAACTGTGAAGGTCTTCAGTGACCACTCACAAGCTGTTCCAAGGCCCGACAGAAATGTACTGTCAAAACTTTGTTCAAACAAAAGTCCTGGCCCGCGGCCCCCACACCCACAATGACTATCAATCCAGGCTGCGGGTGAAGGGCAAAACCGCGCCGCTGCAGAACGGTTTTTGCAAAACCGCGCCGCAGCGGTACGAAACTGCGCAGATGCAGTCCAGGGGTGGTAAGGACACTATGTGTGTGTGTGTGGCCGTAGACTAGACGGCTGCGCGGTCGTCGGTCTTCAACACGTACGCTGACTTGCCGGTGTCGCGCACGGCGAAGGTGGCGTTGGCGATGGTGGCCGCGTACACCCAGGCGTAGCCCCAGTACTGGTAGAGCTGGGCGGCGCCATGCCCCCCTGCGCGCGCCATCATCTCCCGCACGATCCTGCCGCAGGTAGCGTTTGCACGCTCGCACGCCCCATTCTGCCACGGCTCGTAGGGGCAGCTGTTGCGGAGGGTGATGCCGTACTTGAGGCAGAGCTCGCGCACGGCGCTGGAGTTGAGGACGACCTCGTTGTCGCAGAACGCAACTCCTCCGCGGAACGTGTGGCCGTCCTTTCCCTCGTTCTCGGCGAAGTACTTGCGCAGGTAGGCAGGCGTCTGTCCCTTGGTCTGCAGGATGTACGGCGTGATGGTGCTGGTGTGCTCGTCGACGACCATGAGTGCGTAGCGGTGCCCATCGACGCCTACCACACCCTTGGGCGACCAGAGGTCGTAGTGCGACGAGCCCCCGAAGCGAGTGGCCAGTGGCCGGCCGGTGCTGCGCCGCGCGTGGTACTTGGCGTTCGCCTGCAGCGCGGCGTCGTCGAGGCCCTCGTTGCGGTCCATCTTGGAGAGGTCTGGCACGCCGTCCGCGATCTTGCTGAGGTCCTTTAGCGCGTTGCCGGAGATGCACAGGGCGTGCCGCCAGAATGTGCCATCCGTCGGGCGCCGCCCCGGCTTGCCGCGCACGATGGCCTTGGCGGCGTTGGCGCCGACGGATGCGCCGAGCGGCATCAGGTGGATGTTGAAGTCCTCCCCGAAGTAGATGGTCTGCCCGGAGGGGTAGTTGAAGCGTGGTGGGCAGA